GACGTGGGCTGCATTCTGTGTCCACAGTGACCTCCTTCCTTTTCTCCCCCTCCCTCCACAGACATTTGATGCTCCAGAGCCCAGTGACACCCCCCCCCTGTACAACACACACAATGTCCTTGCCATGCGGCATGCAGCCTAAGACTGAAGACAAACTCCAAACCCAATGCCACCAGCGCTGTGGGTGATAGTACAGGATACTGTGGGAGGACCCAGGTCACAGAACCCACATGGGGCATTTGGAGAAGGCCCCCATGAGGAAGTGATGTGTCAGCTGAGGCCTGATGGGGGCAGGATGGGAACCTGACAGAGATATAGGTACCTTGGAGCATTCCAGACAGACGTGGCCGTGTTTTCCAGCCATATCTGTGGCAGTACGGCCCACCCAGAGAGACGTTTTCCTTTCCACTGCTTGTGGCCAAGTGAGGCCCCCAGACCTGGCTGCCTCTCCAGCACTCCTGAGGGTCCTTCTCTCCGGCCCTGACTCTGCTTTCCTCCCACTACCATCACTGTGTGGGATCTGGGCACTGCTGGAGCTTGGGACCTTCCAGCTTGCTCTCTGCTCAGCATCCCTGGTCCCATCACTTGCTGCACTCTCCTTTCAGGAAGCGGTATTTCTGCTGCTCTCAGCTTCTAGGGGCTATCACATGTAGACTTGACCTCTTCCTTGTCTGTAACCCCTTCAGAGCCTTCTCTGCCTTCTCTCCACCTACTTTGCCATCTCTGAGTGACTTCTTCACCTCTAGTCTTCTTGCTTCCTTCTCCCTCCCAGAGAGAGAGTCTGTATCCCAGACTCAGCCCCTGCCTTCCATGTCTCCTGTGCCTACAGCCAGTCAGGTATCTCCGCTGCTAATTTCTCACTGTTTTGGGTGGACATGTCCTTCTTCCAGTGAAATCCCACGGTGAGCCCTACTGTCTGGAGATAAAGTCCAGCACTTACAAGGGCATCAACCATTCCCTTCTTCCTGTTATCTTGCTCCTCATATCTAAGACCCCGTGACTCCGAGTCTTTCCCTGCTTTTCTGTGTCCCTGTCAGCTTCTGAGGGCTCTAGGCAAATGCCCCATTCTGCAACTATCCACTGTGACAGACCTTCAGCAGGACCAGTCTCAGCCACCTTTGTGTCTGGGAAATGACCTCTGATTTATTTTATTATTTATAGCTTTATTGTGGTATGATTATTTGTGTTTTTGTTGTTTGGCTTGTTTTTCAGAGACAGGGTCTCGTGTAGCCCAGGCTGGCCTTGAACTTCTGCTCCTCCAGCAGTCACTGCTCAGGGGCTGGCTTTGAACTCCTGATCCTCCTGCCTTCAGCTCCCAAGAGCTGGGATCATAGAGGTACGCACCACCACCCCTGATTTGTGTTTGTGTGTTTTAAGTTCTCACTGTAGCTCAGACCGATGTCTACAATCAGCAAATCCTCCTGTCTCAGCTTCCCAAGTGCTGGGATGACAGCTGTGAATCCCCACACCCTGTTTTGGGTTTTATTTAACTTTTCTGTGACGCTGGGGCTTGAACCTGGGGCCTGCACAAACCAGGCACACACTCCCTCACTGAGCTACATCCCCAGCCCCCTGTGGCATTTTCAGTCTGTGGAGCCCTCTTCCTGGAGGACTCTATCGCATCTCCTTGAGTGTTTGCCATATTCAGTCTGGCCTTTCGGTTAGGCCTGTGATTCTTTCTCCTGTGCCTCAGGTCAAGGGTTCAGATCCTTGGACCTGTGGATATGGGTTCCTGCCTGCAGTTTCAACACATGAACAGCTCAGTAACCACATGAGGAATAAAGGCAGGAGCGTTGTTTCAACAAGACCAAAAGGAATAGATAAGGTACAAAACGACTCTGTTCTGGTTTCACTGTGGGAAGTTTCACGTTCAAGCGGCACAGTTCCCAGGCCTAGAAATGAAGGTCCTGGCTTATCTTTTGTTTCATTTTATTCTTGGAGGCAAAATCTTGCTATGTAGCCTGGGCTGGTCTGGAAGTTCTCACAGTGGTAGGACTAGGGGCATGGGCTACTATACCTGGCCACCTTGGACACTCTTCTGCCTTCAACCATTGCACAATAATTCTGAGTTGTGCTCCCTGCCCATATCCTGAGGGTGAATGTGACCAGCTGGTATTGGCCTGTTATTCTCTAGTTGAGGAGAACTCAAGTAGAATGAGCCAGGCCACGCAGTTTTGACTTCTGGGAAACACTGTGTTTTATCAGGGACCTCTAGACCACAAAATCTACAAACCTTTAACATTCCCGTCTCTCTCTATGACTTGCAGTTTCTGTTCTGTCCTTGCAGACCACACTTCCGATTCAGTGAGCAGAGCCGACTGTGTTGATATAAGAGGGAGCAGGCCTGCCCAGGCCTGTGGAAACTCTACAGATAGGAAAGGGCAGGTCTCCACAAGGCCTTCAAGGCGGTGAGGGTAGACTTGTGGGGATGGGGCTCCCAGGGCTCCACCTTATTACTGTGTAGGGCTGTGATGAGGCATTCAGGCCCCTCCAGGGGCTTCTTCTAGTTCTTACACACACATACACACACACACACACACACACACACACACACACACACACACACACAGAGAGAGAGAGAGAAGGGAGAAAAAAAGCACTGCAGAGATCCCATGGCTCCCAAGCATGCTGGCTTTGTTGTCCTGGAGCGTCAGGGAAGGCAAGAAAGCAGAAAAGCCAAAGCAAAGATTGTCTCAGTTCCTAGGGGCAGGTCTGGCTGGCAGGAATAGGAATGTTCCTACGGTGGGTGGAAAGCTAGTCCTGGGATTAACAGACCTATGCATACTGCAGAGCTGGGATTGGTGAGTTCAGGCAAGGAAAATGGCTTCTTGGAGGATTAAGAGAAAAGTAGCAAATGCTTAAAATATGCTAAACAGTGACACTGCCATTGTCCCTAAGACAGTGTGTTGTTTAAATCAAACCTTCATCTTGAGTTTGTAATCCTCCTGCCTCTGCCTCCTGAATGCTGGGATTACGGGTATGTGCCACAGTGTCTGGCCAAGTTAGCGCTTCTTTGCAAACAAAATTCAGACACCTGGTAATTAAAAGCCCCATGGAGCTGTGTGAATCCAACAGAACCTCATGTATACGGGAGATTAGTGAAGGTGATGTCTGCCTGGAGCGACAAAGCCCTAACTGCAGACCCCACTCCCATGATGGATGGAGGGGCAACACTGGGTGATGGAGAGACTGTAGTTGTACAAAGATGCAGTTCCCAAAGGCAAAGTGTGCTGGGATTGGTCCTCCCTGATGGCTTTATGGACAGCACATGTCCCTTGCTCAAAGGAAACCGTACTGAAGGCCATTGTCATCCTAAGACAACACGACCCTGGTAGTAGACACAGAATCCCAGTCGTACAGGCAGGGCACTGTCTACTCATCCAGGGCTTCCCATTACTGTTTCGTATTTGGTTTTAGCTGCTTTGCAAGAAAACTCAAAAGACATTCATAGAGAGGCTTGGGAGATGGCTGAGTACGGGCTGCACTCGCGGCTTATAACCATCTGTCACACCATTTCCTTAGGATTCCTTGCCCTCTTCCAACCTCTGCAGGCACCAGGCACACATGTGGTGCACAGACATACATGCACACAAAATACACATAAAAATGAACTTAAAAAAATCCATAGGGAAGGCAGAGAATTGTGGCCTGGAGTGGGTGCTGGGGAAATGGATCCTTGCTTGGGTCAAGCGCCTGCTCAACAAGCACTGAACCTGAGTTCAGATCCCTACACCCACATGAAAGGTGGGTGTGGCTGATACATCTGTAACCTCAGCACTGACTGGGACAGAGTATAGAGACAGACAGACTCCTGGAGTTCACTGACAAGCCAGTCTAGTTAGAGGTAAGAGACACTGTTCAAAAGATAAGAAACATGTATAGGGCAGCTGGAGAGAGGACTCAGAGGTTAAGAGCTCTGGCTGCTCTTCCAGAGGTCCTGAGTTCAATTCCCAGCAACCACGTGGTGGCTCACAACCATCTGTAACGAGATCTGGTGCCCTCTTCTGACCTGCAAGGCATACATGCGGGCAGAATACTGTATACATAATAAAGAAATAAATCTAAAAAAAAAAAAGGAAGGAAGATATAGAAGGACGGTGGGAGACACCAACATCAACCCCTGGCCTCCATACACATGTACAATCACATCACACACACACACACACACACACACACACACACACACACACACACAC